GAAAATCAGGCCCGCCAGAGCTGGTACTCGCCCCGACGTTGACATTTCCCTGGCCTTTACCAGCTCCACTACGGTAGTCGCCACCGAAGCCACGGTGGCCTACCCCACTGCTCCGGTTGCTAAACGCCAGGGCCTCGGCCTGGGCCCACTCTGCGTTGTTGTCACCTTGCATCCGCTCCGCCAGGAGTAGAGCGGCCTTGATTTCCGAAAGCTTCATGTCGCTCGGCGGCTTGGCAGCAAAAAGCATCTGCTGCATTTGGAATTTCTTATGCAAACCACCCAAGATGGCCAGGGCGAATTGGCATTCGTCGATCTTCGAGCCCACTGCAACCATTTGCTCACGCAGATCTTCTGCTTCCTCGAAGTAATCAACAACGGACTGGCCTGTCCGTTGCTTCAGGTTGCTAAATTTCTGCTTTATGAACAAGTTGTTCGCTCCAATCTCAGAGACGCATTCGGTGCGGATCGCATCCCACGCTGCGGCAGAGTCGGCTGATTGATCGATCAGCCTGTGAAAACGGGGCACCGTATATTTCACCAGCTGCGATTTTGCCTTCATGGACTTGTCGGCGACGGCGCTCGGCAGGTCTTCTGCCTCGTCCCACAAATCCTTGCCGGCCAAACAGTACTTCATGGCCGTCCGCCAGCGAAAATAGTTGGCGTAGCTATCTAAACGCTCTACATCATTGTCCTTCCCCATACTCGTCCTATCTCTAAGCCAGAGAATTGCTAAGCCAGCAAGTTCGGATACAGTACTTAAGCAAAACGCTCGCTCGCTTGCCGCGGCGGCGCGGGGCTCATAACCTGTTAAGATATAGGCGAGTGGAACTGTGTAGGTAAAGCCAACCTTAACCGTTACAGGTATCACAGAACAAGCTTTCAGTCAGAACATCATCTCCTATATACCAAACATCCCATCTTATCTGTCGTACAGCCGTTAGTGTTCTGGCCGGAAGTCAACAGGTAGTGGGGACGGCACGGCCATCCCACAGGCTGTTGTACGCGGAGCTGGCTGAACTCCCCTTACAATATTACATGGTGAAGCAGATTCTCCGTTTCTGGAACCGCCTTCAAAAGCAAGTGGGATCCATTGCTCATGCAGTTTTACGGCAGGAGATAACCGATGCCCTGACCAACCCGGAATGGGAGGGTTGGGGAATCTCAATGTTACGACTGTTTTCCTTCTTAGAGTGCAACATTTGGAGCGGAATACCGCAAGAAGTCGTGGGGGTAAAGGAGCGTGTTGACTGGTTGTTGAGTCGACCTCTACCAGAAGGAGCGATAATAACGGCACTAAGAGAGCGTTTGATGAGCGGCTGGGACCATACGCGTCTGACTGTCTTGCCAGAGGAGTACCCATCAGATGGGAAGCAACCGGGAGTGCAAATGGCGAAGTATAAGCACTGGATGGGGCTGCCCTTTTCGGGAGCCGCAGCCGTCATGTGGGCAACACATGCTAAGGTTTTCATTCCTCGTTTAGCACATCGTAAGCTAATGCAGTTTCGTTTATGTTGCTGGGCTTTGGAGGCGAACAGAGCACGAAGGGGCAAGTACCATGTCCCCAGGGGGCAGCGGTTTTGCCACTGTTGTGGTCCTAATAGCCGAATTGAGGATGAAAAACACGTGTTATTGGAATGCCCAGCCTATAATGATATTTGTGCTGAAGAGGGATTCGATCATCAACAGAGTATGTTGGAGGCCATGCAATGGGAACCCGCACGCCTGGTGAGGATGTTGGAACGTATGTGGGCTCACCGAAACTCAATTACCCCCTTTGGACGCTAGTCTGGGCTGATGTGCGGTGTTTTTCCTTTTCTCCGTGGCTTTTAGGCGTTGTAGTATTGCCCTTGGGCCTTCGGCTCGTATGGGTAGTCTTACAGGTATGGGGTCACGCACCCCCAAACATGTAACACACACACACAGTATTTCATGGCCGTTCGCCAGCGAAAATAATTGGCGTAGCTGTCTAAGCGCTCTACATCGTTATCCTTCCCCATACTTGTCCTATCTCTAAGCCAGAGAATTGCTAAGCCAGCAAGTTCGGACACAGTACTTAAGCAAAACGCTCGCTCGCTTGCCGCGGCAGCGTGGGGCTCATAACCTGTTAAGATATAGGCGAGTGGAACTGTGTAGGTAAAGCCAACCTTAACCATTACAGGTATCACAGAACAATCTTTCCGTCAGAACATCATCTCCTTTATACCAGACATTCCATCTTGTCTGTCGTACAGCCGTCAGTGTTCTGGCCGAATGTCAACAGTCCGGAAATTTGGGTGGCTGCTTTGCCGTAACTGAAAAAACTGAAAGCATACAACTTAGCTTGCAAGGCTGGGTGCATCAAAGGGCCGTGGGGAGAGGAAGCGTTTGGCGAAGCGGCACTTTTGTGAAAGCAAACAGGCGCGCTTTTGGTAGCGCAACGCATACAGCACCTTGTTCAGAGTAAAGGCATATTACAAACTGACGCAAAAAGTATAACATACACAAAATAATTGAGCATAAGAACAGAAAATCGTTCAGAGCCGTGTGGGTGACATGGACGCCGCTGATGGCTTGGAACAGCGTTTTGCTGTGCATACGGCCGTGGGTGGTATGCTGCTCCTTACAAGGACTGCTCGTAGCGGGCTTGGTTGAATGCTCGGTAGCGTGCGATTTGAATCCGGGCTGAGCAGCTAGCCAGACCCAGAACCGGGACGAGAAACCCAAAACGCGTTCGTTACAGCATGACTAACAAGAACAAGGCACCGGGGACGTGGACATATGGTTGGGGAGAAGAGACGCCCAGCCTGCCTGCCAGAGCGCCCGTGCTACTTCGTGCGGCCCTTCCGGGCTACCGTGCTCTTCCGCATTGGTAACCAGCAGGCAGCCGACGGCCTGGCTTGGGTTACTTTGGCCCCACGCCTAACCCAGCGAAACATCCCCCGTGCCTCTAAACCAAAGGCTGGCCTCTCACCAAGCCAGGAAAACAAAGTTCGAAAGGGTGGGCGGGTGGGAAAGAAAGGTCGCCAGATCCACACCGCTGACCAACGGACAATAACAGTGGCAGCTAGCAGCTGTCCTGGTAAAGAGAGCTCGTATCAACCAGAAGCCGAGCCAGAGATCACAAGGAAGGTTATTAGACAAGACGAAACACCACCGAGCAAAAATGCAGCTCAATACAACAACCAACCAACCGCACCGTACGACGCCGCTCTGACGCCCGTCTTCAAATCACATTTTCGACTACGCCTAAAATAAGATGTTTACCTAGCATGATGTTTGTTCGGATCGATACCCACTGGCTGTTGCCCAGAGAATGGGAGACCGGGATGAGGCACGGGAAGGCCCGGAGCGAGAGAGTGTCGCTCACGGGGGGGTGTTGGAAATGACCGACACTCATATACCAGTGAATGGTAGCCACAGTAATAGGACCCAACGGGGGTCCGGCGCTTCGCTGATCTTAACACATATCCCTCCAAGCGAGAGGGCTTGTACCTATGCTGATGTTCGTTACAAGAAGTGAACTGAGGACTGATGCTATACGTCATGTATATGCGTTGCTTAGCTTGCAACGTGATGCGCCCACGATAAAAGGTATGCAGGTAAATTCGCCCGTGCGCCGAACGCCGTGGAACGCTTCAACTATACTCACAATAGACTGCTGCACTATTCTCTCCAGTCCTGCCACATTATGTTTCACCGACGTACTTCGGCACCTTCCACATCTATATACTTTTCTGGCGCGGTCAGCTGCTTCACCAGAACCCCAGTTTTTTATACGTCTGGATTAAGGAACGGATTGAAGTACGACATTTGCCATTCCGTGCATAAAATTCAAAAACGAGTATTCCCAGACCTTTAAAATATGGGGGCCCTTGTGAAGCAGCTGGTGATGTGGAAGGTGCCGAAGTACGTCGGTGATATATAATGTGGTAGGACTGGAGAGAATAGTGTAGCAGTATAATGTATTGTGAGCGTAGCTGAAGCTTTCATCGTGGGCGCGTCTCGTTGCAAGCTAAGCAACGCGTATACATGACGTGTAGCATCAGTCCTCAGTTCACTTCTTGTAACGAACATCAGCATAGGTCCAAGCCCTCTCGCTTGGAGGGATATATGCAAACAAACATCCAGATAGGTAAACTCGCACGCTACCGAGCATTCAACCGAGCACATGCATGCTTAGTTGAATGGTGAGATGCGACCCCCCTTCATTTCGTGCTCGGCAAGCCTGCCACCGCGTACCGGATATGTTGGCGATGTTACAGAGACGCTGCACCTTGGTTTCTATGCGCAATGCATAGATGCTCGACACGTGCCCAACTGAAGACATTCCCGATGGTTGTGCAGCAGCTCTTGAGGCTGTTGCTGGCTGAAATCCATCCTGAGCTGATGCAACACGGCTAACGCGGGCACATCCCTATGCACAGCAAATAGCTGTTCCAAGCCAACAGCGGCGTCCATGTCACCGACAAGGCTCTAAACGTCTTATCTGTTCTTATGTATAATTAAGTTTATGTATGTTATACTTTGCGCATCTTTGTAATTGACTTTAGTCGGAACAAGGTGCTGTATGCGCTGCGCTGCAGAAAGCAGGCGCCTTTTGGCTTGCACACGACTGCCTCTTCGCCAGACGCTTCCTCTTCCCGCGGCAGTTTCACGAGCCCAGTGTTGCAAGCTACGACGTAGGCTTTCGGTGCTTTCAGTTACTGCAAAGCAGCCACGCAATAGACTAGGCTGCATGCCGCGTGCGACTATGGCCATCGTGCCCACCTGCGCAACGCGCTGGCGCACCTCGTTTGCTTGCGCAAACTGCCGCTTCGCCAAACGCTTCCTCTTCCCGCAGCCGTTGCATGTGGCCATTCTTGCAGGCTACGTTGTATGCTTTCATATTATTTTCGGCTCAGGCTAAGCAGCCAGCCAAAAGTCCGAGATGCATGCCGCTTGTGACTGCGGCCAACATGCCCTGATGAGCGGCCTTTCGCCGAAAAAATTACATACACTTTTACAGGCGCATTTTGAGAATTGCACTCGCGCATCCGCACGGTAAATTTCGCGCCTGGCTTTCGCGTCTTGTACGGATGTTTTATTCGGCACAGTACGACCGGACACATTTGTGCGAAGGGGCTGCTTAAAGACTATCGAGTATTAACATGAATGCCTTGCAGCACCTTTGAGAGGCACCCACGGTGTGGTGCATAATGCCGAACAAGAAGCACAAAGCTTCCACAAAACTGGGAACACCTACAGCCTTTCTAAAAGATAACCTTCCGACCTATCAATCAGGCTTTTTATGAGGCGTCGTCAAAAGTGTTAATCCGAGATTGTCAATTTGATACCTAGTGGCCACCCCCGGGGAGGCAGTCATAGCTCCAGCCACCAGGTAGCAAGTTTTCCCACTAAGTTTGAGCTTTTAGTATAGGAAGAATGCGCGCATTTCATAGCATATTAACCTATAATTTATCCGCGAAGCGCGCGAATACGGGCGGAAATTTCTTACTAATCGCGCCAACCTTAATCCGCCTAATCCGGCCTAATCCGCGCGATGTTTCCATATGCGACGGAATAAGCCTTAATCCGCAACTTTTAATCCAAGTGGAAACACCCCCTTAGTCCTCAGCCCGTCGGCGCTTGTTTCCTATTAAGGCAACCGCTCCTGTTGGTCAGGTTAGCATGTCTAATGCGGTGCACAGCTGTTGTATGCTTAAAAGATGGCTTTCTAATTCGCTCTTCCCAATCGTGTAACGATTTGGCATCCCATTTGGAGTGGACTCTATCCTCTTTCACTTGGTATCTGCTAAGCGATCCTCATTGCCTGTACGACGACCGTACATCGACTGTCCCGCGTAATCGGCCAGTTGGTAGAGCTTCACTCAGCGAGGGACTCTTCTGCTGCTGAAGATAAGCTCACATAATTACAGACGATGAGGATGATAATTACGTCCGCCATCCAACCAGAGCAAGATTTGAAACACTAGCAACGGCTCTAATGAAATATTATTATATTACGTGCCACACTGGGTTCTAAGGCACGTGTGTGAGTGTGTGTGTGTGTGTGTATGTGTGCACCAAGCTTATTATCGCCATCATCACACTGCATCACGCCGCCTTGACAACATGTGCAATCGCCTCAAAAGTACCTACGACCTGGAACAGCGGTTTGCGCTGCGGCGGGACCCCGCCGGGACGGAAACCATCATAAGACGAAGAAACATTGAAAAACATGTTAAAAATCATGTTAAAAGGTTTATCACTCCAGGACATGGACCTCGTCGTGATTGGAGGGGACCAATGATGAAGGGGTTGGGAGAGCGGAGGCTCGGTAGGCTGCGCTATTGGTTATCACACGTTATTTTCTCGCAGGTATATGAAGAACCCTGCGGCCCCTATTGGTGCTGCGAATCTTCGCCTAAAACCGCCCACTGCCATGTGTGGATATCCAGCCAACCCGCCATCAAGCACCCTGTCGTGGCGCACATACATCTCGGCCAGTAAATTTAATCGTGGCAGCAGAGGGCCAGGGGCAAATCGGCGCCGACCTATGAACCTTGTGCAAATGTGGACAAATTTACTCGTGATGATCTCTAATTTCGGAGCATTTCGAGGTTCGTGACATTCAAACTCGTGCCCCTTACGACTACAAAATCCTCATCCTTAACAATGGCTTTGATAATACACATGTGATATGAACACATCAACAGGAGAAGTCATGGGTATAGTTACGCCTATATTTTGTATCATTGGTACTTAGCCTATCCGCTCCGGCCAAGCCATCTCTGCATCAAGGGCTACTTATGCCATGCTTCGCACAGTCGTCAATACGGCAGGAACCTTCCACCTATTAGTACGGCACCTGGCTGGCAGGACAGCAGCTGTTGTCCGCATTGAGCAGCGAGTACACACAGCTGTTTCCGTAGCACAGCCCCGCCGGAGTGCCACACCTGCTGTTTCGACTCATGGCCAGACATACATACAGGCCGCCAGCGGGGGTTATGGGGAAGGTGCTCGCCAGGGACGTGATCGTCATCACGCCGTACGTCTGCTCCCGCCATGTCTTGTAGGTGTAGCTGGGGGACACCGTCACACCGTTGACGGTGGTTACTCGGAAGGAGTTGGGGAAGGACTCCACGCAGCTGGGGTCTGCGGTGAACCGTGCGGGCCCCGGGAGGGAGTTTGGGGTCGGGGGGGGAGGAAAAAACAGGGCGGCGTCGGTGTTGGTTATCTTGATTAACATTTGAGGGAAAGGAAAGCTCCCTGCAGCTGGGTGAGCCGAGAGCTGATGAAGGCGGTGTGCGGAGTAAGGGACCCCTACACACACCACACACATACATGCATGTTGAGCGCGCAACTAAAGAGGTGCATGGAGGTCACCATGATGATCACGACCAGCTAGGTAGCTAGGTAGCTTGGGTAGCTAGGTAGATAGCTAGGTAGCTAGATAGCTAGGTAGCTAGGCAGCTAAGTAGCTAGGTAGCTAGGTAGCATATAGCTACTCACCGATGACGATTTGAAGCTCATTGATGACCATCCTCGCACATGGGCTGGTGCTGTCCACTGTTGCTGAGGCGGAGATCCGGAAGCAGTAGGTGACAGCGGTGGCGGTTACGTTGAACGGCCCCATGGGTGACGTCATCCGGTACGGTGTGAGGCTGACGTCACTAGCACTGCAGGACGAGAAGGGGAACTTGTTGACCAGCAGGTTGTTTGCTGGTCGAGGTGGGGGCTGGGGTGCCTTGGGGGCCTTGGGGGGTTTGGGGGCTCGGGGAGACTTAGGAGCCTTAGGTGCCGGTGGGGGCGGCCGGGGTGGTGGTGGTGGAGAAGGGGAAGGTGGTGGGGGAGGGGATGGCGAGGGTGGCAGGGGAGGGGGACTGAGTGGGCGAGGAGGGGGCGGCTGAGGAGGAGGGGATGGGGGGGAGGCGGGGGTGGCAGGGGTGGCGGTGGTGGAGAAGGTGGTGGTGGGGACGGCGGTAAGGGAGGTGGGGGTAAAGGTGAAGGAGGTGGTGAAGGAGGAGGGGATGGGGGGGGAGGCAGCGGGGGTGCCGGGGATGGCGGAGGGGGAGGAGGGAAGGGGACCGAATGCGGGGATTGTGGAGGTGGAGAGGGTGGCGGCAAAGGTGGTGGCGGGGAGGGGGACGGTGGTGGTGGTGACACTCTTGGTGGCGGTGGTGGTGGAGGTGGTGGTGGTAATGGGAATGGCGGCCTAGGTGGCACGGGTGATGGAGGGCTTGGTGAAGGTGGCAAAGGTGAGGGCGGCATTGGGGGGTTGGGTGAAGGTGGCAAAGGTGAGGGCGGCATTGGGGGGTTGGGTGATGGTGGTAGGAATGGTGGGGATGGCGGGCAGTCGCAGACGCCGAACTCCGCCTTAATATAGCCCCAGGACGTAGGTGAGTTGGCGCACACCGGGTCAGAGGCGTTGCCAGCTGAGACCCAGTCCGTGGCCAGGTAGGCGGAACGAGACGAATTATTTTTGTCTGTGAACTTTGCACGCATGTAGAGTACAATTGGCTGACATTTCGGGAGTCCGAGCAGTGGATGTACCAGAAGGTTGGTGATTAGCCTACTGTAGTCCAGCGTTGAGGCGAATACCACATTTTGCGGCACGTCCATGGGGAATGACAGGTAGCCATTAGTGTCAGGGTCAGAAGAACAATCAGCGCCACCGCCGGGGTAACCATATTGAAACATGGACTCGGTTAGAACATCAGCCGAAATGCTTCCGACAAATGCTTCCAGTTTCACTGCGAAATTTATAGTTCCGGGTACCGTTTGGTCGGTCGCGATGGGCTCTGGTAGAGTCAATGCGCTTAAGTTCATGGCAATATAACCCCAACCAACAGATGCCCCTGTCTCGGAATCTCGGAACATCACGTCGATCGAATTTGCAGGGACCCCGTTGTGATAGATGAAGGCCCTTGAGCCGCAGCCCTGGACAGTCTGTGTGAAGGTGCCAACGGGCAGCGCCAGCAACAGCAGCAGTAGGTAGGGAATCAGGCGGAGCATTGCCATGGTTGCGAGGCAGGAGAACAGCGGCAGCTGTTGGCGGTGCAGAGGGGTTCGATGGTGACAGAAGTGCGCGTTTCTTTCAGGCGACGGGGACTGCCAGCGTCATGACCATGCGTAACATGACCATGAAGATAGTGACGATAACGATAATGATGACGATGGCGATACTGAAGCTTTGGCTTTCACTGTTGAAACTCGCGAGTCGGTGGACACTCCAAGACACTCCAAGCGGCTCCTAGCCAGAGGAGGCTCTACAGGGGCATTGAAATCAGATTTTTTACTCAGGTGGCCATTTTCGCAAAATAGCACATGAAAAAACAGTTTTAGAGTTGCAAGGCAAGTGGCCCTCCTCGCTATAGTTCCAGCCTCCTGCTTAAGGAAAGCAGTACCAGAGGAAGAGCTGAGAGCAATAGACCGACTTACCGTGGAGGCGACGCGAGCCAGTCCAACAAGTTTTATTCAGTAAATACTTTCTGATTTATAGGAAGTGCTATCCTTAAATGTACCGCAAGTTGTAAGCCCCGACGAGCAGGTATCAATGATGTACTCGCGATACGGTCAGAGACGTAAATCGGTGTAAATCGGTGCCCGCCCACCCATGGTGGGTTTTGGTCACAAACGCTTGATGCAGGTAAAATCAAGCATTTTTTGTCTTAAAATAATCAAACATATGTTTCCTAAACGTGCATTCTTAACCCGTAGTAAGCGGGTTTCAGTATTTTCCAAACCTGAAACTGGCTTTCTACCGAACCACCGTGATCGAGCCAATAAAGAACATGTTTCATAAAATAAACTAGTGACAGATGCTGCCATTTCCATGAGCGTTGAATATTAATTAATAATCGTTATCGCAGTTGGCTATGCGCGGCTACTGCTCAACGGTCCTCGACTTGGATCCCAACGGCGTGTAAGCAACTCTCGGCACAACCTTCAACTTAATTTGTGCGTTGAACTTCAAATTTACATCAAATTTTCCAAAGCACGTGAGAACGGTACGGATACAACGGCCGCTCGCCTCGAGGCAGCACCACACCGGCACAACTCACACAGCATCACCCAGCCTGCGCTACAGCCACCCCGTTCGCCTGCCACTCCTCCCAAGCCCTACAGCAACGACCTCTCAAAAAACCTCTCACTGAAGCTGCCTGGCGCGACCTGTGGCGAGGCAAGCCTTCTCCCTCGAAAAGCCCCCGACCCAGACCAACAAAGAGAAACCCTCAGGCCTATTCCCCCCCACCAGCGGGATAGCCCATCTACCGGGTTCTACCTAGCATCCCTTTTTATCCCCCCGCCCCTTACTCTCCCAGCCCTACTGGCTGTACGCAACGCAGGCGCCCGTCCATTACCGATAGGATGGAATGGTCGGGGCCCACGCTGTGCCAGCCGCGCTGGGGCACACCGAGTTCTGCAAAGTCCTAAACCTGCTGCCAGAAGCCGAGCACCGCCTCCAGCCCCGGAGCTGCTGGGGCCTCGGGTGCGGGGTGTGGATTGGGGGGGGTTGCCGCCCGCGGTCCCACCCGTGCACATTCCTTCTGGTGGGCAGTGCCGCGAGGCTGACCATGTCCCACACGCACTGCTGCACCCTACTGTTGTGTGTGTGTGTGTGCCGTATTGTACAACATGTCTACAGTGCAACAGGTATACGGAAGGTCTGCGGCTGGTAGGGCAGGTCACCGTTGTTTTACAGGGCACCCAGTGGGTTATCTATTCCCTGCAGCCTTTATCTTGGCAAGGAGTGGTGTTGGAGTCTGGTACGCTCCGTTCTGGTACAGGGTCGCTGATACGTGTTGATATGGGTGCCTGCGATTCAATACCCACCCACTCACTGTGATGCTTCTACTGCGGGGCCCCCCAATCTCATTTGCCATGATTCGGGTCTCCTTCAGAAGCGCTATTGGGCAGCAGAGTGTCGTTGGTTGCTTGGTGCTGGGTTAGTGGCCACCATAACGGTGTTCATCTTGGTTACCTCTTTCATGGCCTATGGTGTCGTGTAAACTGGGTGCGGGTGGTTCGGTCGGATCCTGTAATAGCTGCCGTACAGTACGGCAAACACCATCAAGTATATTTACCCGTTCTAAAGCACATTCCTAGCGTCTCGAGAGGCCTTTTTGGGCGGGGCCCCAGCGTGAAGCACCCAGGGGGGCCCCGACCTGTAGGATTGCCCATGTCCGTGTGTGTGTGTGTGTGTGTGTTCGTGTGTGTGTTCGTGTGTGTGTAACTGACCAAACATAATATCTCGGCCGGCTGAAACGCGTTATCGGTACTATACAGCATTCTCTATTGCAAGGTATCTCGCATGTAGCTAGCTAACAAAGACCGTATGAGCACAAACAAGTTTAGCTGCCTCAATTCACCGACCTCAAAAGTCACATCAACGCCTCTCGTGCTAAAGTTCATCCCGAAAGCTGCCGCATATCTCATAATGGAATTCTCGAACACCCAGCTTGCGTTACCATTTGCCGGCATGGGCAATCCGACTTGCCACCAGCAGGCCAACATAATTTGCTTTCACTTCTCTATGAAATACACAAGCTGCTTGTTTTTACATTTACTTTGGCCAATGCACGGGGCCTCCGAAGACTTGCGGTGTGCCTCGATGAAGCTCGCGGCTATGGGGCGGATTGCTGAGGCCGCTGGCGCTTCGGGGATAAACATCACAGACAGCACCGAACTTCACTCAGCTTGCGTTACCAATTTGCCCGCACGGGCATTCCGACTTGCGGTCTGCCGCACTGTCCATGCGGCATGCACCCGGGATGGATGCGATTCATGTGGAGCGTGCAGGCGGTGCTGACGATTCCACCGGTGCAAGCTTAGCTCCCACACCATCAGTACTGCTGCAACAAAGCACATCTCCCACCGCAGTGACACTACCCATCAATTGTCACACGTGCCGTGCTAGCTACCGGCCTGTATGGATGCAGGGGGGGCCCGCCCTTTTTCCGGCTTCGAGGAAGCCGAAACCCGACTTGTCAGCATTCAGGTTTACATAAAGATTCATTGTAACACCATTTATTTGCCCATTACCGGAAAGCGGTGAACCCACTGAAGGGTCAAACGAACAAAGATTCCCAAATACTCTAAGCTAACAAGATTCCCAGATACTCTAAGCTAACAAGATTCCCAGATACTCTAAGCTAACAAGATCCCCCAACTGACAGGTTGGCGTGCACCAAGAATGCAGTTGGGGAGTGCGGTAACAATGGTTGCTGCATGTTTCCTGCCGTACAGCAAAAGCCGTCGCACTCCTTTAAGTCCAGGACGCCTCCATTAAAGTTGTTGTTGAGTATGTAGAGCTGGTGCCGTATGTTGGGTCCTTCGGGCTGTACGTGCTTTCCCACCCCCGCTCTGTCGGTGGGGGAGAACCTGTGTACAGTTATCCTGGTACAGCTGAGGACCGGGTGGTAGCGGGGTGCCCTTCATCTGTATGCGGTCTGTCTGCGTGTTGCTTCTTTGCAGCAGACCATTTACAGGGACCGCTATATCTCAAAAAAGGAATCTAAAGGGTGATTTGATCTTTGGGGCTTAATGACCCTAAGGGGTTTTGTGTCGGAAATGGAGGCAAACTGTCAAGCTGGTTAAGCTGACAGACTCAGGAGGGTCAGCACGCTTTGGGCTTGAAATGTGTGTTGGTGTGATACGGTAGCTGTCAACCACTTGTGCCAACACACCAGGCGACACCGCGACTATCCATAGCTGATGACACGCGGTGGCCTGACCAGGCGGCTGGCTGAATATGGTTCCCTTTTCCACGCACCTTTGCGCGCCAACCTTTCGCACCTACGCGCTTCATCTGGGGAATCAGAGTTGGCGCACCTGTCTTTTGGTTTCAGCGACTTGGCATTGGCGAGGTTTCGCGCGGATGCCGTCCCGCTTCCTGCTCAGCAGGAAACTGCACTAGCAGACATGTCGAAAGAGTAGTTAAGTGTCATGGGTCTGGCAAAGTACCTACGTCGCCCTCATTTTACCTCCTTTTCTCCCGTTTGTCTTCCTTCCTCTTGGGCCACAGGACAGCTGTAGCTGCTATGATCGAGTTGTGTACGTATTAGTTCAGGGTTTTGTCGGGCCGTATCTCGATCAGCCGCATCGACCTAATAAAACCGATTTGGGCACCTGGGGTCTTAGGTTCTGTTCTTCACCGTCATGGCTGACCCTGACATATGTCCATGTATCATACGGAGCCATTTCCAGTTACTGCTTCGTAGGCCAGTCCATCGGGCCAACCCTGACTGCCGTGCAGGCGTCCTAAAGGCCCCTGCACGCACCGATCTGTTTCACTTCCAATATAAATAAATAAATCTGTTTCACTTACAATATAAATTTTCGTTTTGGCTTCCTGTGCGCGGAAGAGATCGGGTCCGTTGATCCTTACCACCGCATGGAATCTAGCCGCACAATTTATTAAAACAGCGTCTGCATATTTTGTTTGAACCTTGTTATCTCAACACCGAACTATGCCCCTGTCCTTGCATGTGAGGTTTTACATCCTGCACCGTAACTCCTTTTTTTGCAACCTGTATTGTGCAAATCATTACAGCGATTTATTTGCATTGCAATTTAGCTGCAAAAATGACCTGGCAAAGGCCTGAAGACTTGCTTGGATAGTCGAAGCGATGTACGTCTGCTCATTGGAATGCGTTGTGAAAGTGTGTTCAGGCTCGCCACACGTATTTAGATTTCATTGGAGCAATGCGGAACGTGTTTGGTTTAAATCGAATTGCATGTGCGATCGCTTTTGCACGAACCAAAATTCAGGCGTCACCCCTGCACGAATCTTCACGAGTTTCTGGTCAGACCCGGGCATAGAGCGCGTCTTTGACACGTACACGTAATTGCGCACGAATGATAGATCGTTTTAATGCGCTTTGGACGAATGATCGGCTCCGTTGGGCCCTGCCGGCCGGGATTTTGTTTCCGATGCCCTACAAAGAGGTGTGGAAATGTGTCGTTACGAGCACTAGATGGGGAGGCCTCGCACCACCTTGGGGGTTAAATCCCTTCCC